CTGGGAATAAAAAGGCCCCTGGTGGAGGGCCACTGTTTTGACACCTACCCTGCTTTATATGGGGTGTGGTGCACACAAAGATCTTGAGCCCGGGAGCCACACTACTGTCTTCATTCCTTCATCCACATTATTCATTGAGCCTGGCTGTGTGCCAAGAATTGTGGCAGGTAATGGGGTTGTAAGGGTGAGTACGTTATGATTTTCACCTTTAAGAGTCTAACATGGAGGAAAACTTCATCATAAATAAGTTACCTGTCACAGAGGCCTCCCGACCTGGCTTGGGGGTAGAATCTGGAGGCATTGAGAAGGGGTTACCTGAGTTACTGGGTCCGAACTGAGTCTTAAAACATAAGTAAATGGAGGCGATGAGAACAGTGGCTGGAGACATAATGCAATATTGCATAGGCAGCATTGAAGCTTAAGACGATGCAGAAGCAAAAACAAGCCTATGGTGTGTCGAGTGCTGGGCAGGAATGCCGAAGTCTGGAGAGGTAGACACAGGGCTCGTTGACTGTTCTAAGAGCTTGTGTTTATTGCTTGCAGGTGGAGAGCCATTGAAGTGCTTTTCAGTGAGGTTGTGAGTTGTTTTTGTTTAAACTTTGGTTAGAATGCAGAGAATGGGCTTCAGGGGCACATGCATGTTCGCAGGGAAACCACTTATGAGGCTAAGAGAGAATGAGGGCCTGAGCTCGGGCGATGGAAATAGAGGGAAGAGTCAGAACTGTTTCAGATAAAATGACATGACTTCTCAGGAGAAGGGAGATGCGGGTGAGGGGGCAATGAAGGATGCCTACCTGTCACACTGTGGCCCTGCCAGAGGCCAGCAGCGAGGGGACCCTTAGGGATGGCCATCATTGTATTGAGCTATCATATCAACTCCTTATTCCCATTTTGCAAATGAGAAAGTTGAAGCCCAGAAAGGGAAATAAAAAATGGTTAGCTCCTCATCACATCACTAGTGAGTAAAGAAGCAAGGATTTGATTGATTTGACTGACTTCAACCTACTGTGGGGCTGTGGCTAATTGTGCATTGAACTGGCAACAATGACTTTCACTCCAAAGGAAGTGGACTTGATTCCCATTTGCTTTTATGCTTGGTAGGTACTCAGTAGTTACTAAATGGAGGAATGATGGATTTTCATGAAAAGTACATCAATATAGTAAGATGTAATTTTCACACATTCCAAATAGTTGAGAGGACAAAGAGGTTGCTTATAAAGTATTACACGTACATCTTACCCACCTGAGCTGCAGGTGGGTGAAGAGGCTTAACCTCTTTGGAGATTACGGGGTCAGTCCTGAGGTGGTTGCCCATCCTGCCTCTTCTTTTTAATGCTCACCGTGCTCTTCAGATAATAGCTTAGGACATAGATATAATAAATACATAGATATAATAATACATGATTTGGTAATTTATATTATAATTGAGCATCACCTTTAGGCTCTGGGCCAATAACAGGCCCTTCAGTCTTAATGTCATATCCATCTAAACATACTAAGAGTGACCAGTCCAGTGACTGAATGAATGAGAAGGGGAAGATAGTCTGAGTGAAAAGCTGAATCTCATGTTGTCTGTTTTTAAATTTATATTTATATAGAATAACTGGGGTACAGGCCAGAGGTTTGGGGTGAGAGGATTCACCAGACACAGAGTAGGAAGCAAAACAGGCAGCTCCACTGAAATACCCTGCTGAGGGGAGCAGCGGTTGAGAAAGGAGAGGACTGCTGTGCCCTGTGGCTCAGCTCCCTGGCCAGCGATTGAACTTGTGCTGCAGTGGTTGCGAAGAGCTTCATAGTGCTAAGCCTTAGCCCCGTGTGCCCCTGGTGAGGTCCTTATGAGGTCTTCAAGCTAAATACAAAGAAATTCCTGTGTTACTTTTCTATAAAATTGATCCCGTCACCTTCCCTTCTCCAAATCTAGGCTTCAAAGCTCCTAGAAAAACCAAGATACAAAAGTGTAGGATTAACTGCCCAATTTACTTATGTTTTAAGAACGTGTCCGAAAAGTTCAGTTAAGCCTGTCTGACAGCAGTGACAGTTCGCATCGTCAGAAAATTCAAGAATGATTATGGCCTATGACCTGGGACAGCTCTAAAAGCCTATAAGAATTCCCAGGAAATGTCACTGGTATTTATCTCACAGGAGTACCTTCTCTCCTGCTGCATGGGAGAGTGCTGGGTCTGAAAAGAATAAAGTTCAGACACTCTCCATATACCTGTAGTCGCTTACATCTGTTACCTGCACCTGTAAGGCCTCTACAGAACTGAAAGCAAAGACAGTCACAGTTGGTACATGTGAAATGATGATGCTGAGACTTCCAGGACCCTCGGCAATGGCCTGTTGTTGCCAGGCAGAACTGGGGGCCCAGACAGAATGATTGTGCCAGGAAATCCCATGGGGCATCCCTTATTCCTTATCCTGCTGGTGTTTCTTGGACTCTAACTCTGAGTCCATGGAGCTATTTCTTGTGCTTAGTAGTACCAGCACCTCTCCAGCATTCCCAAGGCAGGGCTTGACTTTCTATGTCAAGGAAAGCTTTGTGAAATGATTCACCTTATAAACTATTACTGGACAGCAAGCAGCCTATTACCATTATAGCTCCCACTCAGTCTGACTTAAAAGGAAGATTATTCCTTTACAATTGTCTTTAAGTTTTTATTATGGGGAACTATAATGTTTCCCTACTTTAGACCTAGGTACAGCTCTTCTTCCAGGAAGCCCCCACCCCCACCCCTTGATCTATAGTCCCCTTTGCCTGTCATGCTTTATCTATTCTTCAAATCTCACCTTAGAGATCACACCATGTGGGCCCTTTCTGACCTCTCATTAGCATAGCACCTGAGAAGACCCCTTCTCGTCCTGTGTTGTAATATCTGACCTCAAAAATTTGGGGGGGGGGGCTGCAGATTGCACCATATTCTTTGTAGCATCTCCAGTGACAAACACTCAGTGCACTACCAAAGGATGCTTGACTGAACTGGAGCACAATGGAAGGATCAGGGGCTTTCCAGGCCAGAGGACACAGACACCCATGTTGTCTCTGTCCTCTGTAGAACCGGATTACTGGATTACTGATAAGTCCCAATTTCCCCATGCAAAAAATAGAAATAATTATATTACCTTAAAGATTATGAAAAATGTCCTCCCTAGTGGTGCTGGGATTAAAGTCTCAGCACTATCAAGCTGTCACCAGCCAATGCAGCATGAGTTCAACCCCCAGGAAGAGAAGTGATGATGTGGTGCAGAAGACCTCTCCTGTCTCACCTGCTGCTCCCCTCAGCAGTGGATTTCAGTCTTTCTACCTGTTCTGCTCCCCACTCTACCTCAGGTGAATCCTCTCATCCCCCGGACCTCTGGCCTACACACCAGTTCTTATAAAGCATAAATAAATCAATAAATATATTTTTAAGAGTTATGGCAAGTTCTAGGTGCTAATAAAATTTATTATTTATTCTTTTGATCATTATACTAGGTTGAGGATTAGAGTTTGTTACAAACCATTTACACTGTGCCACTAATTTATAGATTTATTAGAAACAATTTTCACATTGTCTAATTGTGAAAGGCAGACTTGTAGAGTAGAAGAAACATACGTTTGAAGTCAAGAGACTTGGTTTGATTCATTTGTAATCCTTCCCCTTCCCCCCCACCCCCAAGGGAACTGACTACTCTATTCAAAACTATTTGCCTTAAGTTGAATGCTTTGCCTTCCCTGAACCTGAACGTGTCTGCTCATTACTAACTCTAAAAATAAAAAACCAGAACATTAATTACTACCCAACTTAAAATAGTTTCCTTTTGGTTCCAACTGTGGTCTGCTAGGTTAAAAAACCAAACAGTGAATGCTGCTGTCAAGGACCGGGTGGGGATTGGATTCTGTTTCTGTGGTGCAACAGTGACATCCATTGGCCTGTTGTGTTAATTATAGAGAAAACCTACTTCTCAGCAAGGCAACTACTGGGTTTCCTGATAGAGAAACACAAAGAGAACAGACTGTCTCCGGCCCAAGAGCTAGTCAGATGCTGACTTGAGCGTCTGGTCCCTGCAGACCGGACTGGGGTCACGGTACTTCCATGGTCACGTTGTATGTTCATGTTGGTGTCCTGTGGGGCCTCGCTGCCCTTGGGGCTTCCCTTCAGTCATGTGAGCAACCCTGAAATTGGTCCTGTCTTTGTGAGCTCTGTAAATTTGGAGGTCTGTGGGGAAACCACTAGTTTGAGGTTCAGATATGCAGTTTAACTGCATACGCCATGACAAACTCTTCACCTATGAGCCTTTTCCAACTGATGAAGTGAAGCTGGTAACAATACTGGTTTTGCAGTTCCCAATGGCTTTTCCGTATATTTTATAAAGCATCCCAACCCCACAGCAATTAAAGCTGAAAGCACACATGTTTGGTATCCGAGCAGTCTTGAGGATAGGAAGTTAGCACCAAATTTAGGGTTCTTCAAAAATTCCTGCTTGGTTTCTGGAAGAACCCCTAAAGATAGGTCTAAAACCAGAAAATCAGAAGAAAGTTTATCTGACTGAATATGAGATTTGAGCAATAAGAGGGTGTCATCATGGAAAAAAATGTATACAGTACTGGCTTTCATCTGCATAGAGAACATAACAGGAAATACCAAGACTAAAAATATTTATGTGCCAGATACCTGTTAAACATCAAGAATGAAGGATAAGTAAGGCAGACTATTGAATACCCTTAAAGACCTCATTTTCAAGTAAGGGATACAAGCCAGGAACAACAAATTTTTTTTTTTTAAGATTTATTTATTCATGCATACAGAATTGGGGTACAGCCCAGAGGTGTAGGAAGGGAGAAAATTCACCAGAGACAGAGTGGGGAGCAGAATAGGCAGATGGAATGAAATACACTGCTGAGGGAGCAGCAGGTGAGACAGTAGAGGTCTGCTGCGCCATGTGGGTCACCTGCCTGGCCAGGGATCAAACTGCTGTAGCCAGCTTCATTGTGCTGCATTTAAGTTATGGCTCCATCAGGGAGGGCCAGACCAATGAATTTTAATAGAATGATAAATGTTGTATCAAACGCTCCTCTGGGAAGTGATGGGAACATACTTCCAATCCCCACTTGCCCAGAATGTAGGGGGTGGGAAGTAGGAATCAGGTCTTAGACAAGAGAACACCTGTGAATGGAAACATGGGTGAAAGGTTTCAGTTCCACTCAGTCAAAACATCATATACTTCAAACATCAAAATCAAGCATATTGCAAAGCTGACATAGGATATTTAACACTTAATTTAAAAAAACAACCCCCCAGATTCAATTACAGTTTATAGTATTTCCTAGTAAATCTTCTTTTGAAAATAATTAGAGAATTTGAAACTAATTTGTGGTATATGTAGTGAAACCCATTACTGACTCACTGGTATAATTTTTTTAAATCATTAAACAAATCAAACAAAAAAAATGGTTCATCTAATAAAAGGATCTCATTCCAATTATTTTGCTCCTTCTCTGGTTGGTCAACTAACAGGAAAGCTCAGTTCCAGTGCCCCTTTTAGTAAGTTGGGTTATTTTTAACTCTTATCATAACACTCGAGGCATATCCTTCACCTTCCCTCTCCCTGGCAACAGTTTCCACTGAGCTTACTCTTCCTGTCGGATGGGGGAGAGCACCCTCAACACCCAATTATCAGTGGAGCTTCCTGTGACAGAGGCGAACAGAAGACCCCAGAAACTTGACAAATAGGCAGGCTAGGTGGCTATAAGTTATACACACACACTATGTAATTATTGGGGCTCCTTGTAAAAAAACAAAATTCACATTTTAAAACATCACTTTTCATTTTTGGCCATTTTGGTTTAAAACTTGTGTTTGGCAAATTGAGAAAATGTTAACTTGCAATTGGCTCTGTTAGGAGTCCTTTTATAGACACCCAAATCTCTAGAATTCAGGAAATTTCTGTGGGCTTTGGGAAACTTCTTTCACAAGGTAAGAAAAGATGAGTTCATTTAGCTGAAGTTACCAATTCTAATACATGCAATCCCCTACGTGCATGTTGGCAAGAAATCAGAATGAAGATGCTTAGAAATATTCCCAGAGGCCTTTGGGCTTAGTACTAGGTGTCACATGGAAGTCGCCTTTGCCAGTGGCTGTCTCTGTCTCTTTGCCATCAGATCTGAGAGCTGCAGAGGGGTCCCCACTCTGTCCCTCTCACAGGGGTCCCTCAGCACTGACACCTGGCACGGTCCACCCTCCTTACGTGGGCAGTTTCAGCACCATCAGCATCTTTACCACTCACCTTTTAGCATTGCAGACTTGGGCATAAAATAAACTCACCAAAGTCCTTTGTGGTACTATTTGATTATATATGTGAAATGACTTGAGATCATCTAGCTAGCCCTCAATGCCCCAAAACGGCCCACCTAGTCGCTTAAGGTCCCATATGTCTTCATTAGGGCAAGAGTTAATCCAGAGACTAGACCCTATTTGCTTTCAATGGACACCCACAGGAGGGAGTACTTAGTGATAGTCTCTTGCATACAGGATTGAATTTTTGCTTTTGCTTTTAAATATATTTTTGTTGGGAGATAATTCACAAATTAAAATATATTATTTTATAAAATATAAAATAATACTATATTACTATTGATGCATCCTGACAAAGGTATTTTTACCTATGTAATATACATCCTTATCAAGATATAGACCATCTTTATCATTACAAAGAGTCCTCTTATACTCCTCAGTCCATTTCCTATCACCCAGACATTTACTATTCCAATTTATTCCACCATACAGAAGTTTTGCCTACAAATGAAGTAATGCACTACACTTTGGGGTTGGTTTTTTTTTTTTTTTCTTCAGCCAAGTGTTTTTGAACTGCAACCTTGTCACTTAGCTTCATCATTCATTATTTATCCATTCCCCTACTGGTAGGCATTTGGACTATTACCAGATTGGGTCTATAGTATACTAATATCCATAGTAACTTTATTCACAAGTCTTTTTTAGACATATTTCCATTTCTTTTGGGTAAATACCTAGGAATGAAATGTTGGAGCATTCTGTATATAGATATATCTTTGACTTTAGAAAATGCTCCATACCATTTTTCACAGTGGTTGTACCATTTAACAATCCAAATACAGCAGCTCCACAACTTTCTCAACATTTGGTGTTGAATGTTGTATTAATTTTCTCTTACTGTGTAACGAATCATCACAAAAACAGCATCTGGCAGAAGCACAAATGTACTGGCTGACATTTCTCTAGGCCAGGATTTTCTTATGACTCATTTGAGTTCTCTGGTTAGGGTCTCATAAGGCTGAAGTGAAAGTGTCAGCTGTCCTGGATTCTTACCTGGAAGCTGTTGGAAACAGTCCACTTCCAAATGAAGTCAGATTGTTGGTTGAATTCAGTTTTTGTGATTTCCAGGTCTCCTGGTAGGGCACCTCTCTGCTGCTGGAGGCGGCCATGCATTCCTTCTCAGGTAGTGCCTCCACCTTAAAGCCTGTGAGAATATCGACTCCCCTTCATGCTTTGAATCTTTCTGACTTCCTTTTCTGCCAGGAAATAACTCTGCTTTAAATAGGCCCACCTGGTTGGGTTAGAGTCACCTGGATAATCTCTGTTATCTTAAATTTAATTGACTTGATATTTTAATTGTATCTGCAAGTTCTCTTCACAATAGTACCTAAATGAATATCTGGCATTATAACTAGAGGAGAGGGGTCGTAGAGTCATCTTTAGAATCCAGTCTACCTCAGATGTCCATGGGAAAGCATTAAAATCAGCGTCACTTTTCAATATCCAGTTGCTTTAAAGCTTGAGATTTCAAATATTATTTTCCTCCTATAAAAAAATCACATCTACTGTGGTTTCAATAATTACCCCTTACCATTTGTATTCTATGTGTTTATAAAATCCACTGTACTGGAAAACATCAAGTTCTTTACCGCATTGAGTTTGATAGCCCTATCAACATGATCAGCTAACTAACAATATTAAGAGTAGAAAACATTGACATAGGTTGCAGTGATTTAACCATGTTAACTTTTGTCATTTCTTCTTTTTTTTTTTTTTTAAAGATTTATTTATTTGTGCATACAGAGCTGGGGTGCAGACCAGAGGCTCAGGGGCAGCGAGAGGCTTCACCAGAGACAGAGTGGGGAGCAGAACAGGCAGATTTACAAAGTACACCGCTGAGGGGAACAGCGGGCGGGTCAGGAGAGGTCTGCCGCGCCATGTGGTCACCTCCGGGGCAGGCGGGAATCGAACTCATGCGGAAGCGGCTTTAGCTTCTCAGTGCTGCGCTTTAACCCACTGTGCCACCAGGAAGGGCCTGTCATTTCTTCTTATTGCCACCTACAGAATTTTTGAAAGCTAGCATTTGAATTTGATGATTAGAATAATAGAATTTAAGGTTGAAAATTCTTAAGTTCTTGATAGCCCAACTGAAAATCAGAGGAAATGATTCTGAGTTGGCTAGTCAGAGATGTGCCAGTGTCATGTCTCATCCTCTAAAAGACTTTGAGATGTGTTGATTTAAGTCATCATAGAAATCCCTGGCAATCTAGAAAACACTTATTGAAAATTACGCATAGACTGTAGGGTTTTCTTTTGTTCCAAATCAAAGTGCTAGCTCAATTCTTTCCAAGAAATGTTTATTTGATCCATTTTTAACCAGCTGGGAGAGGGCAGGAACCAGTGGATTTGATGGACTTCTGTTTAGAGGAGTCTTAGGTTGTGTGTTTGAAAACTCTAGATTCAAGGACTCGGCCTCCTGGCAACAGAGCATTAAAGGATTGTATACCTGTAGGAGAAACGAAGACTTCTTTGTGCTCTTGGTCTCTGTGGCTATCACCTGCAGCCTTGAATGCAGGAAGCTCTTGGAAGCGGGGCTTCGGGTACACCTGCTGGATGGTAGACACCTGGAGTAAGGTGTGGGCATGTGCAAGTAGGCACACCTGAGCCTAGAGGTGGAGCCTATAAGGGCAGAGTGTGACAGAGGCTGGCCGAACAGAGAATGGCTACAAGAGGAAGAGCCCGCACCATGACGACAAAGAGCCCAGAGAGTCAAGATTCATGGGGAGGCTACGCTGGCTGCCAGCCTGTTGCCCCTCTCCACCCACCCCCCTGCCTGCCCTGTGCCTGGCTGCCTCACTACAAGTGGTACAGAAAGATCATTAGAATCCTGTAAAAGCCCCTGAGGTCTCCAGTACTCTCCTTCATCCGTCTGCCTGGATCATAGAAAAACTGCTCTGTGTCTTGCTGGCACTACAATACCTGACTTTATTGAAGCTCTCACTCAGTCCTTTTCAAGATGAATTCCAGAGGTGATCAGGAAGTCACAACGTGCCAAAGTCAACACTCCACCCAGTCTCACTGTGGCTTTACTCTGGAGGCAGGATCCTGAAGCACACCAGCCCAGTCTCCCCTCACGCTGGCTTTTGACCCGCAGGGCAGTCAAAATTTTTACTAGTTAATTTCCAACACCTAAAATCAGGAAATTTCCTCCTAAAAAACCCAAGTGTGCAGGGCTTTTTTGTTTTTGTTTTTGTTTTTCTGAGAAAGTGAGAGTAAAAGTAACAGTGAACTGACTTTCCTCCTGGACCTGCAGCTCAGAGCTGAGCACTTTGGCAGGAGCGACCCCACCTGGCTCACCTCATCCACTCACCCCCTCAGTTGCTACAGGAATCCAAGTCCTGACACTTGCCTGCCCCCAAGCTGCAGTCCTGAGGCAACTTGTCTGACCAAATATGTTTGCTTCTCACTTCCTAGCAGTTGAAGATAATGGGCCAGGTTTTCAAAATAGCCGAGTTAATTCTGGTTATTTGAAAGTGTTTTCTATCTAATTCAGTAACCATGTGGGGTGCTCAGCATTCATATAATTTTAAAAAGTATTTTTTTAATATAGTTATTTAGGGCCCTCCCTGGTGGTGCAGCGGGTTAAAGAATAGCACTGAGAAGCTAAAGCCATGTCAGTGTGAGTCTGATCGCTGGCCCTGGAGGTGACCCACATGGCGTGGCAGACCTCTCCTGACCCGCTCACTGCTCCCCTCAGCAGTGTACTTGTCAGTCGGCCAGTCTGCTCCCTGCTCTGTCTCTGCTGAATCCTCTCACCACTCCTGCGCCTCTGGCCTGTACCCCAGCTCTGTATGCATAAATAAATAAATCTTTAATATACACATATAGTTATTTATTTTACATCATTCTTCATTTTGTACATATTTTCATCTCAGTTGTAATCCTCATGGACTTCCCACTACCAATTCACCCATGTGCCGTCACCATAGTCACATGTGCTCTTGCCAGCCCAGATTTTTTTTTTTAAAAGATTTAGTTATTTATGCATACAGGACTGGGGTACAGGCCAGAGGTGCAGGGGCAGTGAGAAGATTCACCAGAGACAGAGTATGGAGCAGAACAGGCAGATCAACAAAGTATACTGCTGAGGGGAGCAGTGGGCGGGACAGGAGAGGTCTGCCGCGCCATGAGGGTCAGCTCCCCAGCAGGATCAAACTTATGCTGTAGCGGCTGAGGGGAGCTTCCTGGTACTGCGGCGCTTTAACTGGCTGCGCCACCAGGTAGGGCCCCCACCCCAGTCTTGATCCACAACCCCTCTCCACCCGTAAAAAGTATTTTTCTAATGAAATTGCTTCCTCATCAGGAAATTTGACGTTAAGTCAAATGAAACATTTTGGCATTCATTTGGGAAAGTCACTCATCACTCTGTCCGTCATCTACACTTCATATTTGGAGCCTTAACCCACAGTATCTCATATCATGACACAGCAAAACGTTGTCATCTGTAAGTGAAGAAAAAAGACCCCAGAAGAAGCCAAATCTATTGACATCCTGACCTTGGGACTTCCAGCCTCCAGAATTGTGAGAAAATTACCTTCTGTTGTTTCAGACACCCAGTTTGTGGTATTATGTTATGACAGCCTTAGCCAACTATTCAACAAATACTAAACTGTGTTTCTTTGGAGAAAACTCTGTGTAGCCTTATGAAAAAGCAATATACCAAGTTGTTAACGTAATCGATGTTATACGTACATTAGCACCTTAGCATTAGTTATATTTGACTAACAACCGTGAGTCTGACCTTCACTTAGACATGAGAACCATCTGGGAGCTTTTGAAAGTAGCAATGTCTGGGACCCATGCCCCCAAGTTCTTACTCACTTGTTTTGGTCCTGAGCCTCTGGTTTTAAAAGCTTCCCAGGTGTTTTAGAGGTGCAGTGAGGGTGAGAAGCATTGACTTGGAGGGAAAGATCTCCCTCCTTAGCAAGGTCCCCAGGTTCAGGTCTCACCTGGGATTCCAAGGCTGCCAGAGTCACTCAGAGCAGATGGGACAGGTGTCGTGCCTATACAACAGATACAACAGTACCTGGACCTCCAGGGTTGTGAGCAAAAACAAGTCTCTACCTTTGGACACCATATTAAAGGAACCATCTCAGGACAACAAGTGACTATGGGACCCTCCCTGGTGGCAGGGTTAATGCACCACACTATGAAGCAATCTGCACCCACTGCAGCACAAGTTCGCGCCCCAGCCAGAAAGGTGACCCACATGGTATAACAGACCTCTCTTGTCTCGCCTGCTACTCCCCTCTGCAGTGTATTTCAGTCTGTCCTCCTGTTCTGCTCCCCACTGTGTCTCTGGTGAATCCTCTCACCCCCCACACCTCTGGCCTATACCCCAGTTCATATATAAATAAATAAATGAATGAATGAATGAATAAATAAATAAATCCAACAAAAAATAAGCAACTATGGCTTTGCTCTGAGGCACTTGCATATAGTGGCCTGGCTAGAATGTGTGACTTTTTGATCTCCTTTCTCCGCCTATCTCCCTGGTTAATTCCTTGTCCTGCCCTGTATGCCAGTTGAGGGTGGGGCAACTGGAGAGGTGTACCAGGAAGCCGAAGCATGACCTTGGCACCTTGGGCCTAGAGCTTGGAGCCCAATACAAGATGTAATCATTCAGGGGAGGAAGAGAGCTATTGAGGCCTAAACCCATATGTCTTTCCTACCTCAGCAGCACTGAGCCCTGGGTGCTGGGCTGTTCTGTGGATTTGTCTGTTTTTTTGTCACATCTCAATAAATAAAATGGTATTTTTCTGATGTTTATGCCACTCAAAGCTTGCTGATTTGACTAACTTAATTCCTGGCAATTCTCATTAGTCTCTCATCAATTTTCTAGAATGAAAACACTACCCTGGTTTGGTATTTTTCATCTTCTGTCTGCTCTGCGCATGTGTGGAGAACAGTATTTTTGAGAGTCAGAAACAAGTTAGTGGGGACATGCTTGGCCCACCCTTCCTTCAAAGTTCTTCCTGCCATTTTCCGGCATGTGTCTGGTCTTTCTCTCTGCCATCAGGTCTGATATCCTGTCACCCCCCTGCCAAGTGCTGCTCTGGATCATGCAGACCTGCATAACTTGGCGATTACAGAAAACCTGAACAACTAAGAAGCCCCCACTGAACATTTTCACCACAAAACTAAGCAGCCAGGTCACTTTCAAAAATCTGCAGGTTACTGAAAAAAAAAAAGGATTGTATGAGGGGATTTTTGGGCTCAACTGTTAATTGATTTGGCATGGTTCTACCACATTACTTAAAAAAAAAAGCATCAGAGTAGGGGTGGGAAAAGGGCACAGGACGATGGTGATGGCACATGGGTGAACTGGTGGTGGGAAGTTCACGGGTAAACTGAGATGAAAAAATGCATAAAATAAAGAATGATGTAATAATAATAATAAAAAGCAATATGCTGCATTATAGCAAATTATAGCTCTTAAGTCACTGGACTTAAGAAAAGTCCAGTGATACCCAGTGTCTCTCAAAGTTGGAGAAACTTCTGGCCTCACTCTGCAGATGGATATTTTAATTATAATTTCAAACTGGCCATAGAATCATCTGTTATTCAAGTGAATGAAAGTATGACAAAGATCTTTCAGCTCATATCTATATTAATTTCCTGAAAGGAAAGCCAAGCAAACAAGGACTTAAACAGATATCTGTATCCCATGTTCACAGTCACCAAAAGATAGCAACCCAAGCAAGTGGCCATCAACAATGAAAGGATAAGCAAATTGTGGTACATATGCTGGAATATGTTCAGCCTTAAAAAGGAAGACAACACATATTACAGCATGAACCTTGAGGACATTATGCTAAGTGAGTCACAAAAAATTAAAGGCTTTATGATTCTATATATAGGATGTACTTACAGGAGTCAAATTCATAGAAACAGAAAGTAGGATGGTGGTTGGCACAGGCTGGGGGGTTGGAGGACAGGAAAATGGGGAGTCATTGGGTTATTGTTTAAAAATCACAAACTTTCAGCTTGGGGAGAGGAAAGTGTTCCGGAGAAGGATGGCGTCGATGGACGCCTTTGATGTGGATATACTTAATGTCCCTCATATACACCTAAAAATGGCTGAGATAAGTTTTTAAAAAGATTTATTTTTATTTATGCATACAAGAACTAGGGTATAGTCCAGAGGTGCAGGGGAGTGAGAGGATTCACCAGAGACAGGGTGGGGAGCAGAACAGGCAGACTGACTGAAATACACTGCTGAGGGGAACTGTGGCCAGACAGGAGAGGTCTGCTGTGCCATGTGGGTCAGCTCCCTGTCTGGGAATTTAACTCTTGCTGCAGTGGCTTGATAGTGCTGGGAATTTAACCCCTGCACCACCAGGGAGGCTGTAAAATGACAATTTTTAATGTTATGTGTATTTGTCACAATATTTTGAAAAAGAAGATGTTGATAAATTGATGTTATGTAATTATAATAGAAATTAAAGTGAGTATTTGGTGTGATATTTTATGAATTTCTTCTTTGGTCTGATTTATATAAAGAACCTAAGTTACAAAGAATTACTTTTATTAT